ACATGAATACAGTACAATGGAAGTAATGTAGACATGAATACAGTACAATGGGAAGTAATGTGACATGAATACAGTACAATGGGAAGTAATGTGACATGAATACAGTACAATTGGAAAGTGGAAATAATATTAGGTATTTGTGCTAAAGCTCACTTCCTCATTCTCTATACAGCAATGCCTAATTTCATAACAAGAAAATAGATAGTCAATGTTTTACATGAGATGGAAGAAAAAAATCAAGGTGATTTCGTTTTATACATGCATCAAATCACTTCCATAATTGCCACTAAACTGTGGAGTCACAGATTTGAGTCAAGGATAGAGATATGAAACATAAGATGGAAAAGCACTAAATTTTAAGTTCAAAACAATAACTTGTATCCAAAGTATCCATATAAAAATGAAGAAAATCATTATAACTAGTTTTTGTTATGTATAACACAAGAACACTGGGTTCATTATTTACAACAGTTTACCTTCTGCAGCTTGGGTGAAAAGACAAGTCAGAGAATGAACACGAAGATCAAAAAGAAGTTGCTGGACGAGCTTCAATACTTCCTGAGGTAGATCCAACTTCAGTAAACTGGAGTAGCACTCTCTATAAAAGGTTGAGAAGAAATATGCAATCAATGAAACAGCTTTAACACATAATGCGATAAGGTGAAGAATGATCATAGATCATTAGAAAAATATAAACTTTTTTCAATCAAACAGCCAAGTCAATGATAATTTACAAAATCTAGAAAACACAAATCTTGTATGCTTTTTGAATAAATGTTTGATTAAAATAATATTATCAACTATTCTATATCTGGACATGAAGACAATGTTTCTAGATAACTTTATATAGCAGGACTTCAGATTTCTACACAGAAGTTATTACAACAAAATCAAGAGAGAACATTACACAAAAATATATCACTAATGATCTTTAAAATTTTACTGGCAATTATATTATACTAGAAGTTTAGAAATTGTGTAAAATTATAGTAAAATCACTGAAAAGAAGTTTAAATTTAGAATATAACATAAGTGATCTTTTACAGATAAATGAAAAACTTGAGTGAATATACAATCAAATTATATCAAATTTTATCAATGATTATCTATATAAATTATTTCTAAAGACTTAATTTTGAATAATGTTAAAGTATAAGCAAGAGGTTTTACTTTTATTACATAAATACCCATTATATGTATCTTTTTTACAACCTAAAAATAAAATTAAACATCTTTAAAAAAGACGTATCAAATAAAACAACCTATAACTATTTGTATGAAAATATATTCTTAAATTATAATCAATAAGTCAAGTTTTACTATTTCCTTTTTTTCATTTTACCAATAAACTTCCTGGTCAAGTTGTACATTTTTTTTTTTCATGTTGTCTTCTGCATGTGCCACTTCTTTAGTTATTACATTTGTATGCTATCCAAACACT